GCATGAACACACCGAAATAACAAATACTTTCAAGATAACCCAACACCTCCTTTTAAGCCCTGTCATATGAACTTTGGGGGCACATTTAAACCACAGCACACTGTAACAAACAAAGAAAAATCCATGCCTTGAAAACAACACCTTCACAGTATGAAGCATCACAATTTAGAGATTCTTAAACATGAGTACTTTGCATCAGTTAAGTATGTGTTTTTCATTCTTACCAGTCTTGTGGGTGGCACTCACTGGAGCTGTGATGTGGTCCCCACCCAAAACTGTAATCTTTCAGAAATTGGAAATGGGGCTGTAGTTTTCTTCTGAAAGTTAAACTCCACAATTAGCATAGGCTGAAACAAATCAGAGATCATGCAACTTACTTTTTTGAGGGGGGAGGTTGGTACTGGGGATCGAACTCATGACCTTGTGCATGAGAGGCAAGTGGTGGCACCACTGAGCTAACCCCCCCCCCCCGCTCATGAAACTCACTTTTTAAAGAGACTCCCTGGTTAGGACAAGATTTATTTCAAAGTAGGAAATGTGCTGTCTACACAGTGGGTGGTCAGCTAAGGAAACATTGGCAAGTTGAAGTCACCAGTGCGAAAGGGACCCTGGCCTTTTAACCCCTGCATGGAGGAGGGGGTCTTATCCCATAGCTTCCATTTGGTGGCTTTCATTGGCAAAGTCATTCTGTCCTCCTAAAGGCTCATGCACTCATGGGTGGTGCTTTCGGGGATGATTGAATCATGAGTGTGTGATGCTCATCATTGGGTTAGTTTACTGACGGGTTTATAGCTAGGTGTGCTAGTGGAAGGTGAAGCCTGGTGGGAAGAGGTGGATCACTGTGGGTGTGGCCTGGAAGGGTATATATATATCCCTCCTTCTTTTTTGATTCCTTGTCGCTTCCTGCTGCCATGCCATGAACTTATTCTCCACTGGCCTGCCCCTCTCCATGCCACCCTGCCTTGGAGCCAGCCAACTACGGACTGAAACCTCTACAAACTGTGAGCCAAAATAAACCTCTCCTCTTTTAACTTGTGGCTGTTGGGTTTGTCCCAGCAACAAGAAAGTATCTAAGGCAGGCTCTCTCAGGCTGTCACTTAGATGCCATCAAACAGACATTTAATTCCTATGGTTAATCTTCCAATTACATGGGACATTCCATGTATTTGATCTCAGGGATGGTAAGTATGTCACACCAATAAAGTTTGCTTATTGACATGGTGACTATCTATCAAGTCATAAATTTTCATTCTGGGTTTATGTGACTGCTTTGAGATTGTGGAGTATAAATCCTACTCTGAGAGATGGAGTTTTCCTTAATGCACTGACACATTAGATTTCTGAGTCTGCAAAGCTGAGGGTGTGTCTCATGGATTGTGGGAAAATTCATAAGTATAATGCAAATTCCTGGCAACATCTCACAATCACTGTGTGCTTTTATCTAAACTATCTGTAAATCCATTTCCTCAAAACTATTATTATTGTCATAGAAATAATTACAATGGTTTATATAGTAACACATGACTCTTGTTATAGGTCCCGAACCTCATTTATCAGTTATATGACCTAGGGCAAATGATCTAAGCTTTCTGAGTTTTGGTTTCTCCATCTATAAAATGAGAACAGTAAGACTCAGCTCTTAGGATTGTTGTGAAGAGTAAGTATATTCTTCTGATACAGTAAATGTCCTGAATAAAAACTATAATTACAAAATTGAATCATTTGTAAGAAAATGAATGCACCTTGAGACCGTATTGTTAAATGAAATAGACACACAAGATTACATATTGCATGGTTTCTCTTGTATGAGAAACTGAATTATAAACAAATAAAGAGCCAAATAAAAGATAGATAATAGGATGTAAGAAGATAGATCTTTCTCAAATGGGAAGGGGATCAACTGATGGAAGGAGAGGGGAGAGAGGAGAGGGAAATAGGATGAAAGCAAAGAATGAAGATATGCTATGTACATGTACTAACTCCACCCAAGGAATGTAAACATTATTTTCTGTAAACGTGGTAATAAAAAATAAAATTTAAGAGGACAAAAAAGTGTTAATTGCAGAGTATTCAGAAATGAGTGAAAATGGAAGTAGCTATTTAAGGTGGTTAATGCTGAATTCAGGGAAAGTTCATATCTTTAGAATTTTTTAGTTCAATAAAAAATTAAATGAAATAAGCACACAATTTTTGAGAAGCTGGTAGATAACAAATAACCAAAAGTTTTGCTATATGTAGAAAAATATGAAATTAGATGAGTAAGCTGAGAATTTGAGTAAATGTAGAGGAATTCTAAAGATGATTCACAATTGTTTTTCTTCAAAATAATTCTTTTTTTTTTTTTTTTGGTACTGGGGATTGAACTAGGGACCTTGCACTTTTGAAGCATGCAGCAGCACCGCTGAGCTAAATCCCCAGCCCTCAGAATAATTCTTAAACTTTCCAGGGTGTATTTTCAAGACTTTAGTGTGTCCCAATGTCCATGAAGATATAAAAGAAATTCAGTAACTGTTTAAATTTCACAATAGATGATAAAAATCCTGCCACTTTTTTCAATTTTAAAAGGGAACTATTAAACTAAATTGTTATGGTCTTGTTAACATTTCAAAGTACAGTTACAAGTAAAAGTTTGTATTACTCACAAGATGATTGAAGACTATTTAAAACTCCTTATTGGAAGCTAAGAAAAAACACATTCTGAGGGTCAAAAACACCAGGTGTTGTACAAAACATAACAGAATGGAAACTGAGAAAAATCTGAGATTAATAGAGAGTGTCATTTACTTTTCAAAATTTTCTGACCGAGTTATTTTTTAAGTGTTTTGTTTTGTGGTAAATTTGTGGGACACACCTGCTCACTTTGTTTCCAGGGGATGCTATTTTGGTCAATACTGAACTTTATTTTATTCCAAGGTTTATACCTACTCCCTGCTGGTTAGTTTTGTTAAAGCTGTCAGAGCACAATAAAGCTCTTCCTCATGAGTTTTGAAGTATACATGTTTCTACTTTCTTCCACTCCCCCAAAGACTCAAATTTCAGAGTAGATTGTCTTTCATCCTTAATTATCACTATGATTGTGTCCTTTAGACTTTTCCAATTTTTCATAAATATTTTGGTGAATAGTAGGAAGAAAGGGGATAAAGCAGATACAATATTAGGAGTCTTGAGTTTATTAGGTGATCCCATATTAAATGAGAACTCTACTGTAGAGTTTTCTGGACTATGTTCTTTGGAGTGTTGTTCTAGGGGAGATGAATCAGTGTTGAAATCCCTTTTTTGGATATTCATCATGATGATTAGCAAATTAAAGGCTCTAAGAAGTCCTGAGTAAAGAAGTCAAGTTATTTAAATATAAGTTATTAGAGCATACAATTTACAGATGTCTTTCTGTTTGGCCTTGTGCTAGGCTAGAGTTGGCTAGTGGATTTTCTTCAGCCAGGTACTTGGATTAGATTTTGGATTTTACAGGTGTTTTTGTTTTGTGCATGAATGTATGTGTATATGTGTTTTTTACATTAGGCTATCTGCATTGGTGATCATCCACTGATTTTATTTTCCCTTCCAATAGCAAAGAGAATTATCTCTATGAATCTTATACCATGTATCACTCCACTGGTTCTTTAAATGTTCAGCCCAGATATTGGACCTTTTCTCTTGATGGGAGTGATATTGTGTGTGTGTGTGTGTGTGTGTGTGTGTGTGTGTGTGTGTTTGCTGTGTACTTGGGGAGGAAAAGTGATCTATAAAATCAACCTTAATTGGCAGCCATGTGGCCATCTGCATGGACTCTCTTTGCAGCCCCACTGTGCATAGTAAAGTTAGCAAAGATAGCTGCTAGTGATGGGCATGAAGGAAGTTCTCTTCACCTTCTAAGGAATGTTTAACCAGTTCTTTATTCTAAATTTACCATAACAGAACTAGGTCCTTACAGTGTTGGTGGTAAAGTGTAGGACACAGCTATGCTGGTATAGTTAGATATGTACTTAGCTGCAGGATAGGAGATGAAGAGGCACGAAACTGCTCCTTCATGCTATGAAGAATACTTCAGGATCCAGTTTTTCTTCTCCTATGAACACTTCCTCCTTCTTCTCAGTCCTTCACAGAGTCTGTCTCCTAAAGTCTGCTTCATTTGCATTCCAGCCATTTCTTAAGACTTAGAAATCTTCAAGAATTTGGTAAATCATTGGTACCCTTGTTTTTGTCAATTTTGAAGATGTGCAAGAGAAAAGGAAAAGTTCTGGTTCCTACAATCTCTTTGTGTGAGAAGCATCCATGGCAATCTATCCTACGAAGAGCACCTTGATTACCCCCCTTTACGTTTGGATGACTAGATCTTTAGGGAATGTTAAACCTCTTACACTTGGAGGGTTAATTGCCTGCCAACACTTGAAGTTTGCAAAGCTTTTGGGCCTCATTATACTTAAAGAACACTTTCCTCCTTTGGTTCAAATACAAAGTCCGTGTTCCAGTGACCTGTTTTGGTGTAATAAGTCACTCTAAAACTTAGTGACTTAATAAAACCCTACATATTTATTTTGCACATAAATCTATAACTTAGGTGGGGCTCAGAAGTTACAACTCATCATACTCTGTTATGATGGGACCTCAGTTGCTGAAATATGTGGTCTCTCCACCGGATTTGTCTTCTACGGTGGCCCAGTGTTCTTAACATGGGATCTCAGGGTTCTAATAGTGAATGTTCCAAGAGATCCAGTCAGAAGCTGAAAGTTTTTTGTTTTTTTTTTACCTTGCCTCTGATGTCATGTATATAATTTTTGCTATATTCCATCAACCACATAAGACAAGTCCTGATTCAATCTTGGGAGTGGTGTACACAAAGGCAAGGACATCAGGAGGTAGGCATCATTGGAAGCTGGATATCACATCCTCCTTCCAGTCAACTTGAAAAGGAAAAATGGTTTTTAAAAGTGCAAATTGGACATTATTTGGCAAAAAATTGATCACCACAAAGAAGAGATCAGAACACATGTTCTCTCTGCTCCTTCTAGCCACTGTTGTCTTTATTAAATGGAAAATTGAATTAGAGTCAAAGAGTGTCAGTATTCGACATACAATTTTTTTTTTTGGTACCAGGGATCAAACTTGGGTCCTTCCACTTACGAGGCAGGTGGAGGAACCACTGAGCTAAATCCCTGGCCCTCGGCACACAATTTTATAGAAAGGCAGTCATGTTATCTACCTGGGATGTCAAAGAATCCATCTTGATTCTGTACACCTGGTTTAGCATGTTGTACCAAAGAGGGAGGAAATCCTGGATGCTGGCTTTAAAATGATAGTAAGGAATCCAAACTACTATGAAACCAGCAGCTACCCCATCTTAGCTCCTAACTTCATGCTGAGCAGTAACAAAAGAAATAAATGGAGACTAATGATGCTTTGGTTTGGGAAATAATGTTTACATGCACAGGATGCATCCATTTAAGTCTTTTAAAAACCAATTGTTCTAATGGTTTTATTGCTTTGTAACAAAATAAATCAAACTGACATTGATTTCAAGGTCACTGAGAATTGTAGTTTAAACATAATCATGACTACTAGGATGCAAGTTTGAATGCAAGGAGGAGGCTTGCGGAGGAAGGCATCACAGTATATTGTATTTTTGTAAACATTACTACAAATACAGAGTAATAAAGATTCCCCTAGATGATGCTAAGTAGGCTCCATGTTCCTGACTTTCATAGGGATAAAGCTTTAAGGATTCTTTTCCATTTTACATCTGCTAGGGTATAATGTACTGCCCTAAAGGAGAATGATTCCAATTTCACTACACTTCTAAGATGCTCCATGTTTCTGGTTCTCTACCACATGGGCTCAACCTCAAAAATATAGTCTTACAGGATAGCATGAGGGAGAATGCTACTCCCAACAGAGAAGATATAAAATAAGAATGAAGACTTTTTGCCAAATTCTCTTTCCTAGATCCATCTCCTTCAGGAAAAGTTTTTATATCAATAGATTGTGGCTCTGTGGCCCTCCTTACTCCTACTTCCCCGCCCTGCTTATACCTATGCCCAGATCCTGCTCAGTTACTTTTACTGGTAACCAAAGAGACAAGAATTGCTTTTTGCAGTTTTGGGGCAGGTCAGACCTTGGCAGATGGTGCCAAGTCAACTGAGTCCTCACATTTAATACATATCACTGGGACTTATGTGGAGGACTGAAGAGAAAGATAGAATGATCAGTAGAGCACAAAGTAAGCAAGGCCTGCAGGTAAACCCTGGACTGCTGAGCTAGGAAAGAGGCCTTCTTGATTCTCTGCAGAGAGAATGCTTGGATTCTGAAATGTGATATTGATTGGCCAGTACTGGGGACAAATGTCTGGAATCATAATAACCCTTGGCTAGATAGATCTGAACCTAGCACTAGGTCCACATCATAAACTGGAGCACACTCCAGTGGGCTGACTCACAGCATATAGACAGGGACAGAGTCGAATTCTGCGGGCAGCAGTGGCTGACAGCCTTGCTGCAGCCACCAAGTCGACACCCAGCTCTGCCAGCTGACTCAGCCTGTTCCCCACTCTGGGCAGCCTGAGTATGTTGTGCGGTGGGGCCTCTGATTTGTGGCTGCTACTCCACAGTCTCAGGTCTTTGAATCCATCTCTGTTTCCTGGGCGTCCCGGTCAGTATGGCAGCTTTTCTGGGGGGACACAGTGAGATGAGCAGACAGCATCACAGCAGAGCTTGCCTACGTCACAAGGAGGAGGGACCCACAGTCAGACATTTTGCAGGACATCAAGGGGGACAAGGCCTCTTTTCTTCCCACTGAGGACTCTGATAAAACCATTGTCTTGTTCTTCTTCAGAAGTCACACAGATCTGAAAGTCAAGGAAGAAAAATCAAAACACTTTAGTGTCAACAGGACAGCTAGAACCTGCAGCTTAAATGACTGCTTGCTGAGGTCACAGGAGAACCAAATTGGATAAAGGAGAGAAGCTTCAGGATGGGTAGTTGTGGCACTGTGAAAACGAGTTTAGATAAAAAAAAATAGGTGGAAAGTAGTGTTTGGGATTAGGCCCAAGCATTGAGTGTTTTCTATGTTTCAGCTTTATGAAACAGGGATTACCAATATTGCTCCCTGCTGGAAAGCCCACTAACCAGGTGCAGGCCCCCCACCCCCTGCCCAGTCCCCACTGGCAGCAGTGGAAGCAGCCTGGCAGATTGAGCATGAAGCCCAGCAGCAGCAGCACCTGTACCAAGTGAATATCAACAAATGGCATGCCCCCTGGGTGCACAAGCATGGGGACCCCAGAAAGTCAGATGGTCCCTTTGGGCCTGAATGTGCCCTGACACAACCAGGTCAGTGGGCCTGTCATGCCCAGCATGCAGCCTGGACAGTGGCAGCAGGCACCAATCCCCAGGCAACAGACAAAATAGCATGCATGCTCAGGCCTGTGATGTCCATGCAGGCACAAGCTGCAGTGGCCGAGTCACAGATGCCCAGTGTGTAGCCTCCCAGGAGAATCTTACCCAGTGCCCTGCAGGACCTGCTTTGGACCCTGAAGTCACCCAGCTCCCCTCAGCAGCAGCAGCAGGTGCTGAATATCCTCAAGTCAAATCTGCATCTAATGGCAGCTTTCACCAAACAGCACACAGCCAAGTATGTGGACAACCAGCCTGGCATGCAGCTCCAGTCTGGCCTCCATTCCCAGCCTGGCATGCACCAGCAGCCCAGCCTGAAGAACCTGAATATGATGCAGGCTGGCATGCCAAGGCCCAATGTGCCTCTACAGCAGCAGGCAATGTGAGGCCTAAACCCCCAGGGCCAGGCCCTGAACATCATGAACCTAGGACACAACACCAACATGGCAAGTATGAATCCCCAGTACTGAGAGATGCTGAGGGGACAGTTGCTCCAGCAGCAGCAGCAACACCAACAGCAGCAGCAGCAGCAGCAAGGCAGTACCAGCATGGCTGGGGGCATAGCTGGGCACAGCCAGTTCCAACAGCCACAAGGACCTGCGGGCTACACCCCAGCCATGCAGCAACAGCACATGCAGCAGCATCTTCCCATTCAGGGCAGCTCCATGGGCCAGATGGCTGCTCAGATGGGGCTTGGCCAAATGGGGCAGGCTGGGCTGGGGGCAGATAGTACCCCTAACATCCAGCAGGCTCTGTAGCAGCAACAGATGAAGCAGCAGATCGAGGCCCCAGGCCAGCCAAACCCCATGAGCCTCCAGCAGCACATGCTCTTAGGACAGCCGCAGGCCTCCCATCTCCCTGGCCAGCAGATCACCACATCCCTTAGTAACCAGGTGCAGTCTCCAGCCACTGTCCAGTCTCCGCGGCCCCAATCCCAACCTCCACATTCCAGCTCATCACCATGGATATAGCCCCAGCTTCACCACACCGTGTCTTGCCCCAGACTGGTTCCCCCGACCCTGGACTCAGTCACCATGGCCAGCTCCATGGATCAGGGACACCTGGGGAACCCTGAACAAAGTGCAATGCTCCCCCAGCTGAACACCCCCAACAGGAGCACACTGTCCAGTGAACTGTCCTTGGTTCGTGACACCACGGGAGACACGCTTGAAAAGTTTGTGGAGGGTTTGTAGCATTATGAGAACATCACTTTTTCTCTCTGTGTTCTTGGACCTTTTGTACTGAAAATCCAAGCATCGAGGGTCTTTTTATTCCTAGATGGAATTGTGACTTCCAAGCCATGGAAGGGTGGATTGATGTTTAAAGAAACAATACAAAGAATATATTTTTTTGTTAAAAACCAGTTGATTTAAATATCTGATCTCTCTTTTGTTGTTATGTTTTGCTTTTTCGGTTTTTTTCATTTTGTTTTTAGTTTAGGGTGAGGGGGACTTGTTTGGATTCTTTTTGTCATCATTGCTGGTGACTCATGCCTTTTTTAATGGGAAAAACAAGTTCATTATATTCATATTTTTTATTTGTATTTTCAAGACTTTAAACACTTATGTTTAAAAGTGAGAAGAAAAAGAATATTCACAAACTGGTTTCTGAAATAATGCATCTTATAACATATCCCGATAACTGTCTGATGTTGCAGGAAGATTTTTTTCGTATAGTGAACTCTGTGGGCGTCTCCAAGTATTACCCTTGGACCATAGGAATTGACTCTGGTGTGCATACATGTATACACCCACACACATCTATCTGTACATGCTGGCTTAAGCCAAACTCTTGTCTTGCAGATGTAGAAATTGTTGCTTTGTGTCTCTGATAAAACTGATTTTAGACAAAAATGGGGATGATCACTCTCTTAGACCATGCTAATAGAGAAGAAGCATTCTTTTCTTTCTTCTATGTGAAACTTGAAATGAGGAAAAGCAATTCTAGTGTAAATCATGCAAATGCTATAATTACTATAAATAAGAAAATTCAAGATGATTCAATCACTGTATAGAATGGTAAAGTACCAACTCATTTTTATATCATATTGTTAAATAAACTGTGTACAACAGACGAAAAGGGTGGTCCTTCTTGAATTCATGTACATGGTATTAACGCTTGGTGTTTGGGGTTTTTTGTTATGCAAATGCTGTTTTCAACATTGTGTTTGGACTATGCATGATTTTTCCCCCATTGTATATGAAGTATCGCTTAAAACTGAAAAAAAAATACTGCTCCCTGAAAGAGTTATTGTAAGGGCAAAAAGTCTCACATGCAGCATAAAAATTTTCAACACATTATCTTAAAGGACCAAAATAACAGCTCTCATTCAGCAGGCTCCTATCATGGGCATAGAATTTTTCATGTGACTGATGTAATATCAGGAAGTCAAAGGGAACTATTCCTAGCCCCAAGCATACAGATGCTACCATCTTCCACATCCCAAAGTAAACCACCTATGCTACACTTGAAAAGCAGGAGGTAAAAATCCATTTGGATACACTTGTCACTCACCATTTACATGCCAATTAAGTACATGTAAATTAGAAGTTTTTGTGGAGAAATGTTGGAGTGCTGTGAGTTTCTTATACTTGACCTGCTTCCATAGGTGAAATATGTCTTAGGTTGGGATTCCTAGAAGCAGTCTGCAAGCAACTAAGAGTCCTTGAGAGAGGAGCCAGATTGGGTAGAATGAGAGGCCTAACAAGGTTGCAAATTTAAGAGACAAACCCAGCCTAACCATAGAGCAGCTCTCTCTGGGCATGGGTTTCTTCACAATGTTGTTTCAGTTTGAAGCAAAGGGTGTGGGCTTTTGGCCCCGGACATTCACTGGTCACTGGCTGACTGGGACATAAAAGACATAGCTTCTTGGGTGAGGCATCTCTGGCTCTATTAAGGGGGCTTGCTGGACCAAACAGCTGCAAGTTATTAGCAGCTGATAAATACAGCAAGCTGGGAGATGGGGTGTGCTGACTTAGTGAAAGGCATGTGGTTAGGGCCACCTGGTTTTCCTAGATTGTGTCCTTGTTCCATCTTTAAATCCAGTAACGATGGATTGGGTTCTTCTCATACTTTATTTTTCTGACTTGCCCTTGTGCTTCATCTTTCCTCTGCTCCCTTCGGTTGCATCCCCTGCCTCAGCCAGTTGTACTTTTATGCATATAAGGGTGGCAGTGATTAGATTTGTCCCACCTAGATAGTCTAGGATAACTCCCATCCCAAGGTTCACAACTGTAATCATATCTGCAAAGTCCTTTTTGAATGACACCTGGATTACTGCTGCTAACAAATTACCACAAATTTGGTGGCTTAAAACAACATAAATTTATTATCTCATGGTCCTGGACTCAGAAGAAGTCCTAGAACCAAGGAATCAATAGAGTTGTATTTCTTCTGGAGGCTCTCAAAGAGAATGCATGCTCCTTGTCTTCTTGAACTTCCGGAGTCTGCTTATTTTGATTCACAGCCTTCTCCTCCATCTTCAAGGCCAGCAGCAGCAAAGCATCTTCAAGTCTATCTGATTTTTGCTCCCATTGCCTCATCTCTTTTTTGATTCGGATCTTTCTGTTTTAAGAATCTTTGAGATTAGGCTGAGCTCACCCATATAATCCAGGCTAATCTCCTCATCACATGATCTTCAATTGAATCATATCTAAGTTCCTTTTGCCACAAAAGGTCAAATATTCAGTGTTTTAGTGATCAGGACAGCTTTGAGACACTGTTACTACTGTTACTCTATTTACCACAGAGGACAGCATTAACAATATTGCAGGAAATATGCACATAATCTGAAAAGATAATATTCTTTGATGCAGTAGGTTGAAGGAAGACTTGTCCTTGATGTTGTAAGAAAATAATCTCTTGAGGTAGAGAGATGATGTAATGAGATACAAAGAAATATGCTGTAGAGGAAGAGAGGCTGAGAAGAAAAGATTACCAAGAAATAGACTGCATTGAAATTTATGTTAGAAGGAATGAAAAGCTGAGTTGAAACTTCAGAAAATGAAAATTAAATGAGGACTATCTTGAGGATTCTCTTAGGAAGAGGAGAGAGATAAAGAAATAGAAAATGATAAAGATACTAAAACTATAAGGAAAATATGCTAAAATAATGATGATCCAGCCAAAAAATTATTAAGCTCCTGGGGAAGAAGTATTAAGATCAAAAGGTAAATGGTAAACAGGCAAAAAACTTTAGCCACATAAGATAGACCAGGTGTAAATATTCTTAAAAGAGAAAACTTTTTTTATTAGTATAAGAAAATGGGCAAAGTACATGAGGAAATTATACCAAGGCTTGGTAGATATATGATAAAATTTCAAACTCTTTATTGAGGAAATGCAGAATAACATAAACTATTATTCATCTATCAAAATGATAGATATCAAATATACTCATATTGAATTCTGCAAGGATGTGGTGAACTGAATAGTTTCTTAAATAGTTGGTGTGGGT